TTGCTCGGCCGCCGCTGTGGGGTGAGGAGGATCGTCTGCGAAGCCGTGCTTCTGCGGGGAGAGCGCGCGCCCGGGAGCCCTGGATGTTGGCTTTCTCTTTTTTTTTTTCTTTTTACCTCGCGGCGTTTCTGCCGCCCGTTGTCGCAGGGATTTGGCGGCGCGCTCTTGTTTAGCGCTCGTTCTGTGACATACACCAGCTGTCTTTCACGTGTAAAGAGAAAGTGCACTGTAGTTCTGTGGATGCAGCTTACTTTTTTTAAGCTTTAGTGGATTGTAGACGTTGTGTAGGATTCTTTGAAACAGGTGTTGCCAACCTTTTGTGGTGTAGGGCCAAGTTTCACGAAGCTGACACAGTGCGAGGCCTAATGGCAAAACGACGGAGGGTGGTGGGCTATGCAACCAAATCAAAAAAGTTTGGCTAATTGACAATAATTAACAAAACTAGATGAGAAAGCATGTTTGTCTTCAGCATGTATGTCACACAGTTGCAATGAAATATAGGTGAGAAGTGAAAATGCCATTTTAGGTCAACACTGCCATGTTGGCTTTCAGGCAGCAAGTAATATGGGAAGGGAGGGGGAGTTTGACGTCGTTTCGGGGACAGCATAACACTGCTGCATAACATAGGCCGCATGCAGCCCGTGACTTGCAGCTTGCGAATCTGTGGTTTAAAATATACTACCCTTTGACAAGTGTTGGTAGACTAAATTTCGTGCTTACGAGTGTTTCGATCTTGTTACACCGCATACCATATATGGTAGCTGCTTAAGATTGCCGGGGTGGTGATGTCAACTAGTGTCTGAGCTTAACTTATGCATTTTGCCGAAAAACAACAAACTACGCTTTTGCGTTGTTTACTGGTGAGTAGGCAGTAAGAAAAATAGAGGCAGTACGTAGCCGTACTATGGTGCACGACAAGATTTTCCAAATTTGTGAACACAGTACAACCTCGTCAACTCGTATCTCACGGAACTGCCAGAAATATCCTGAGTTAATGGAATTCCCCATTGTTGAATGGGCCATGAAAACAAAAAGAAAATATACTCGGCACTGACAAACCTTTATTGCATTAAGGGGGGACGCGGGTCTTAGAAAAGTAAAAAATGGCCAAAAAATCGATTTTGAGAAAAACGCATTTTTCGAATCTTTGAACCTATAAGCACCTCTCCTCAAATTAATAACACTAAATTTGATAAAAAAAATAGGTTAAAATCTATTTTCAAACCATCACGGGAGTCGCAAAACAACCCGCAAAACAGAAAATTTGTTCGAACTTCCCGCGCGCGCCGCCAGCGAAGCAGCCGGCAGATCGGCGCCATCTTGGGCTTGTTTTGAAGCTGGTTCCTTTGTGCGCGTTTTGCGGGCTCTCAAAATGGCGTAGCTCCAACACAACGACTGCCCTCTCCCGTTTTGCGAAGCCGTCTGCCGGACCGCTGATTGGCTAGAGCGCGCGCGCGCCGGCGAGCCTCCCCGTCTCGCGCTTACCATTGGCTGGCGCGGCGGCGCGGCCACGGTTGCTCGCTCTTTTTTTTTTTTGTTTGGTTTTGCTTCGTCGGCGCCTGCTTTCGTGCGTGCTATCTCGTCTGCTACCCGCTCGTGTACCGACGTCGCCGACGTATACATCTTTCTGCATTTCGCCGGCATGGCTTGGGAAGCTCGCCTGAAGAAGAACACTCGTCAAGCTTTCGGCAGAAAACGAAAGCGAGCGTGGAATGTGCGGCAGAAGGGAGCGGCCTGCGCGCCGCCGAGAACGCCGGAGATGGCCGAGGAAGCGCATTCTGACGACAACGGGCTGTCGGAAATGCCTGTTATTGCGGAGGCAATAACAGGCATTTCCGGCATTATAAAACAGGCATTATAAAAGGGCGATGTTTTTATATATAACATGTGTCTTCCTTTGGTTTTCAGTGCACTAGAACAGCCACAAAGTTGTAGACTGGGTTCCTTATACTGATTCAACGGCCAGTACACAGTTTTTAAATGAGCTGTGGCAAATATTTTGGTAAGGTGCATTGACACATTTGGTACAGCCATACTCACATAATGTAGAGCTATACAACGGTGTCATTTTTATTGCTCTTGCTTCACTTTAGCAAAAGTTACAGTTATTAGAAACTTTAAATGCGTTTTTCTCAGTTCGATGTTTTTGTGCACCACACTAAACCTTAGGGGTTTTTCTTATATGTTACTGTTGATTGAGAATGACAAACTTGGTATCATTTTATTTGTAATAACATTACCTATGGGGTGATGCTATTTTGATTACTCTAGAAGCATACTGTTAATTACAATTATGGATAGTAATGAGCGAAAATTGAACAGAATATCCATTGTAAGTGCTGGTCTGTTTTCTTATCTATATAATGCTTAAAAATTAATAAAAATAGCATCACCTCATACAGAAAGCCCTCAGCATTGGGGCTATGCATTTATTTTTTGGATCTGGCTTGATTAAGCTGCCAAAAAGCCCCCAATGAAGTGCATAATTAATTAAATTACAGATGTTAATATCTTTTTATTCACTGAAGCTATTTCAGAAACAATTACATATTTGAAATCAGCATGAAAAACTGTCCAAGACGGTGAGGTTTAGTCAAGATTGAGCCAAAAACAGAAAAAAAATTTTAAAGACCCATGTCCCCCCTTAATAACTGCATTATTTTTGTCAGCCTTGTTGGAAATTGTGATAGAATGATTTTCTTCAACCCTATCAGGTGATAGTGTGCACACTTCCTTTTGCAAGATCTAACACGTGAACCGCCGTGTTGTTCGTGCATTTAACTTTTAATAGACACTGGATATGCCAACGGCCTAAGCGCTTCCGCATGGTGGTGCCTAGTGCCACCTAGACACTTTCCTTTCATTCACTATAATCACGATCATATTCTGCTGCAGCTCGTGCTGTTTCAATTTCTCTAGAGCTCTGGGTCTACTGTTGGTTACGGCAAGCAGTGCTTGAGTCTCCAAGCAACTGAGAATGCGCAGCTAGAAGCATGGAGTCCCAGTAGCTCTCTTCGTAGTTATCCGAGTTAACCGGTGCGCAGCTGAATTCCTCTGAATTAACGAGCGTTTGGCATAATTGAAGTATACACAGTTTTGCTGGGACAGCACCTTGAGTCCAAGGTGACTGATTCTTGGAGTTAACAAGATCTTGATAAACAAAATTTTACTGCAAATATGCCTGGTTTGCTAAATTAGTACATTTTCTTGAAAGTTTGGCATCATGTGCCATTTACCGTGCGAGGCGTGGGAGGAAATCTCAACTGCTCACGTGAAATACTATGTAATTCAAAGGTTAAGCTATGGACGCTGTGTGACAACTTTTGTTCATACACTCAAAGCTTGTTATAACTTAATGGGATATAATTAAATAATGGATATAACGAAATAAATGAAATTCCCTTTGAAAGCTTCATTGAGAACCAAGCATTTGAAACCTTGTAACGAAGTAAAATTGACGGGTAAGTGGATACAATGAACTAAATCAGTCTATTAAATAGTTATAAAAAAAAACGAACGTAGTGTGTTAAGTATAATGTTTCTGCGGAGTTTCACGCTCGTTTGGCGCGGCTCGTTCAAAACTCCTGCGCTGACCTTAGAGCCACGCCACATGCAGCCGAGACAGCCGTCCTTCTCACACAGCCAGCGGAGAGGATCGAGGAAGCGCTCAGATGGTTACATGACCGAAAAGTGGCGCCGTGGTGCGAAGGGATTTCCCTCTCACTCTAGAATACACAATGGGGAAGCTTCAGAAGACTTACGTTTATTCACAAATCAGAGGACATCCGGCATTAATTGAAGTAATTGGTGATGCGCGTCTGCACATGTTTGCCTTTCAGCGAGTCAATCAATTTCGCACGCAGTTTGCAAAACATAGTAGTGCGCGGCTAAGTTGACGGCAAGGACTGCGTCTCCACTGCTACTCTCTGCTCCCAGAAATGAGGAGGGTCTCCATGCGGAGAGAAGCAGATCAGCATTAGAGAGAGAGCCAACTCTCCGCGACAGCTTTTTTTTTTCCTCTCTCTCCACGCACGGGCTTGAAAGAAGAAGGGTGTCAACGTGCAGAGACGGAAAAGGGAGAAGTGTTGCACAGGCGGGTCGCAGATCGTCATTTGAGAGAGAGCAAACAATCCGCCACAGTCTTTTCTTTCATTTTCTTCTTTTCCTTCTACGCGCGCTGCGTTGAGAGGTGTCGCCTCGCGATTGGGCATGGTGCTGAGAGCATTTTCGGAGAACAGTGTGTTCGAATTAACCGTCGCAAGTGCTTTCGCGTTTGAATTACAGGGCGTTTTTGCCCATTGGAATACACAAAGCTTTGGGGGGACCAAAGCGTGAGTTCAAATTAACCAAAAAGAAGTTCAAATTAAGCGTGTTTAAATTAATGGGATTCAGCTGTGTTTATTTTCCGTTGCACACGTGGTTGCGTAGCGGTACATCGGGCTGCGAGGCGGTTTCCTTCTTTGCATGGTTATAGGTGTGCACCTATCTGAGCATGCATTGCCAGAAACTGTTATAATCGATATAATGAAATAATGGATATAACTAAATAATTGTGGCTCCTTTTCAACTTCGTTATAACGAGGTTTGAGTGTATATGATTTCCAAACAGTTATCAGCTTCACTTTATTTAAGTAATTTGTTTGACTCTGTAAACGTAATTTCATATTTGCCTCATGCCTTGATATAATTAATAGAGATAGAGACATAATGAATTATCGTTTACAAAGAAGTTGATGACAAATTGTCTTGTTATGGTACAGTGTTGTAAATAAATATTTAGGACAAATTTTCAGATATCATGCAGTTATAGTCATGTCAGTTTAGGCTTCATTTTAATGAAGGCTGAGTGTACCTATCTATTGCCATCTGTTGTTGATTTGCTGAAATGCTTGTTCCGTGGCGATGTGCTGAATCGGTCGTTTTTAAAAGGACACACAAGAAGAAAAGGCCACAGGGAGAGCACTTCGAACTATAGCAAACTTGTTTTTCTCTATGCCCAGGTAAATGGGGTGTTTGCGAGTCACACAGCTCTTCAGGCGGCCAGTCAAAATGGGCACGTTGAAGTCGTCAAGATTCTGCTGCGTCACAGCGCCGACGTTGAAATTGAGGTGATATGTTCCTCCATGTTGAAGTGAACTTACGCTTTCCATCTTCTTCTCCATGCAATCTTCTCTATGTACTTTTCTGGGCCATTTTAAAATTTTCAATCCAAAGAAAAAAAGTTCTATTCTGTGACCCCTAATTATAAGTAAGTAACGACTGGACAAGAACCTCGAGGGCAGTTGATAAGCTAACAGTGCGAAAGTGAACATTCAATGGCAAAATGAAAGCCGGGGCTCCCTTCCAACTAGTTTATCTTAAAAAAAAAAAAAAAAAGGGATGCATTTAAAGGTTGCATGAGACAATTAGAAGAATATGGCAGGCACCAAATAATATAAAAAGTGAAATAAATTTGAAACTGAAAGTAGTACACAAGAAATGTCTACAAAATGCTCCAAAATGATGAATGAGAGTCAATATAATGTGCATAGTAACTTGTGGACTTTCCACATTTTTCCAAACTCAAAACCTTTAATTGCTTTTTAGATGGAATGCTTGAGGCTATATTGACATGCGATGCAACATGCCATTATGACACAGTGTGAGATGACTTGGCATAGGTCGTGACACCAAATGTTTCCTGTGGGTGACATGTTGATTTGATATGTCACCGGATGACGCATAGTGACACCGAATGTGTTTAAACATGGTGCATTTGGTGACTTGTGACAGATGTTAAAACATGACGCATTTGGTAACCTGTGACAAGTGTCACATGGCAGTGGCATGCATGTACATTAAAGCGCAAGATAACACGCGACTCCAAAAGTCTCACAATGTGCCAAGTTTATTGTCACGTGCCATCTTGGTGACGCAATGTGTCGATATGACACAATGTGTCGTGACATTGAATGTTTGACATTGGTGTCACGTTGATTTGATGACGTGTCATCGGATGACACAGGGTGACACTAAGTGTGTCACGACACATTTGGTGACCTGTGACAGATTGCTTGTGTCATGTCACACCAAATGACAAGATAACACTAGACTCCGAATTTGTCATCTTAGATGCCTCGAAAATTTCATCCTTGGCATGATTGGTCTGTCCTCAGCATGATTTATCTGCTCTTAATTTTTTTCATCATCCTGTGACAGGACAAAGATGGTGACCGAGCCGTGCACCACACTGCCTTCGGAGATGAGCCGAGTGTGATGGAGCTTCTGGCTCGTGCCGGTGCCGACCTGAATGCGCGCAACAAGCGTCGCCAGACTCCCCTGCACATTGCAGTCAACAAAGGTCACATGGGCGTCGTCAAGACCTTGCTCGACCTCGGATGCCACCCGAGTCTACAGGTGAGCTGGGCCTTGTGTTGGTTGAAAGAGCTCTGAACATGTTTTGACATTCAACAAAGCAACGAATGGGGCTTGTTGGTGTATGTTCATGTTGAAATACGCTTAGTATGACAGTTACTCAAAGGACTAAAACACAATGAAGAAAAAATTAATAGACGTATGTGCCACGAACACGTACTCCTCTTCCTTCGTTGTCTTTTAGTCCATTGAGTAAATATCATACTAAGTGCATATCGACACCAATGTTTTAACTTCAAAGAGCTAATGAAGGTTGTAGGAGATAGAACTATTAATTTCAGCTACAATTACAGAACTATTAGCCACGGTATTTACTCGTGCAATGAACACACTCACATAATAAGCGCATCCCCAACTTCAGTCATCACAATTTGGATTTTTTCTTCTCCGCGTAATAAATGCACCCCCTACATTCATTCGCTGCAGTACCGCTAACCAACACCTGGCGCCTCCTTGCCCGTTAGATCTCTTCTGTTTTTTATTATTATGCCGACCCAGCTCGGCTCGCTCCCTGTCACCCTTTGCCCGCTGCCGCACATCATATTATTTTTCTTTTTATCTGTGCGTGGCATGTCGCCTGTCTTTTTTAATTATCTGTGCACCACAGCGGGGTTCACGAACGGTGCGAGGGTGAGACATCGCAGCTGATAAGCACATAGCGAGCAAAGGTCACGAAACTGTCTGCGCCAAGCGAGGGTCGCATCCTGCAACTCTATTTTCGAGCGACGACGAAAGGATTTGTTGTCGCCATAGCTGTAGCGAAGGGCCATTCGTGGCCACCGCGTTGCAGGTTTCTGGAAAACCGGATGAAAATCGCTTGTCGCCCAGAAAAGATCGTAACCAATTTCGCAACATGATAGCACCCTCGATTGTCGCTTCTGTTGCAATTCGCTCTTCATGCTTGTTATCCGCACGTACTTCAAGGAATGGACTTCTCATGTGGACAGCGAGACGGCGACCATAATTTGTCGTTAGTCTCGTTATCGGCGGTCTGTTTTGAGGCTTCTGTAGTTGCTCTCTACAATGTCAAACGACATCGTCGTGGTCGTCGTGAATGCGAGGTTGCCATGAAGTTGGCGAAGGGCATCGTAGCGCACGCTTCTGAGCAGCCCCTGAGATCACAGCAGATACCACTGTTGTAACTAAAGGATTGCGAGAAAAGGTAGCCGCAAAACGCATTTATGGCGTGGGTGGGGACAGCTTGCAGAAATACAGTGCCCTCAACCATCAAGCATAAGTGAAGTGCAAGAAGGAAGCTGTTTCCGAATAGTGTAAGCTTATGCCAGTTGCGAAAGGCTAAGCGACCAAACTTTTTTTTTTTGCAATACCGCAATTTTTTCTCATCCCAAAAGAGTTTTCATAAAATTTACCCTGCATAATGAATGCACCCCCAACTTTGCTCCGATTTTTCTAGAAAGAAAAGTATGTTCATTATGCGGGTAAATACGGTATGTCTGTCTGGCGTTAGTTGATACGCTCTACTTAGTTACTGTCGTGGGGAAAAAAAGAGTTTGAAACAGTTATTGGGGGGGTGGTGAAGCACAGACTTGAAAGAAAAATTCACCTGCTTTGCAATGGGACTTTTTGGGAAAGTTTGGTCTTAGGTTGCTTAGGTATGCATGACTGTGACACGACATACATAGTCAAAAGTGGACGATAATAAAAAAAGAACAAAAACGGTAAAGAAAGAATGAAAGCAAGGTTGTGTGAGTTACACTTCCATAAAATTGTATTCTTCAGAAATGTGTTTCTAATAACATATTACGTTGGCCATCTGTGACCTATCCAGAAAATTTTTTGAGGGGACGGGGCTGGGTGCCATTATTCTTTAAGCATGTTCCCGCATGCATGTGTATGTGTGCATGTACAAATTAGACATGTGAAATCCGCAGTCAACCATACCTGAGCAATCGCTTGCTCTGTTATCTACAGGACTGTGAGGGGGACACACCGCTGCACGATGCCATCAGCAAGAAGCGGGACGACATGCTCACCCTCCTCCTGGACCACAGTGCCGACATCACGCTCACCAACAACAATGGCTTCAATGCCCTCCACCATGCGGCGCTCCGAGGCAACCCAAGGTTTGCACGCTTTTCCTTCTGCATGCGCTCGCTTCTTTTCTTTTACAGGTAATGAACGTGATGTGTGGAACGTGCCATCGCAAGCCTTCCTGCATAGCTTGGAACTTGTCGGAATCTGACAATTCGCCATGTTGCTACTGAAGTTACGTTTTCATGTGCATTTTACTCTTGCGAGCTTCATGAACTACAGCGTTAAAGTTCCGAGCAGTTGTCTCCCCCCCCTCCTCCTTTCAGAAACTTAATAACTTAATATAACTCTCCAAGGTAAAGGAGGGTGTGGGGATAGGGGAGGGGGTGGAGCTGGACACCGAAATTCAAAATGACGTGGCAGTCTTCTGTCATCAGAAGAAAAAAAAAGAGATACAGTGAAACCTGATTACCGTATTTACTCGCGTAATCCTCGCACTCGCATAATTCTCGCACCCTCCACATCGCCCAAGAAAAATACGATTTCTTTTTTCCTCGAGTAATTATCGCACCCCCAAAAACTGCGCAATAATGTCGTCTGCTCGTTCCAGCCGCTGATGATGATAGCGCGTGCCATTTGGCGCCATCTCTTAAGCATCAAGCATACTATTGCACGCAAATTCAATCCAATCCAAGCCAAGCCGAAGTGGCCAGTGCGCGTTGCGGTGTGTTTTGTATGCTGTGTCGGTAATCTTGGCACGTTATGGTGTGATACTGAAGCTACACGGCTGCTTCAAATTGCAAGTGATAGATGACAACGGCACTAAACGACGGCAACAGGGCCGCCGGTAGGCCCTTCGGAGAATATGAGTTTTGTGATCGCTACTGGTGACGGCAGCTGAAAGCCACCATGACGCGTTGGGCCTGCCGTGGGCCTAAAATTGGGATTGATGGTAAACTTTATTTCGTCAGACGGAAACTGCGGACGATTCTGTTAAATAGCCATAAGCCCAATACTGACGTCCTACGCTTACCTTTTGAGGGCTCCTGTTGAGCGACGAACGCTACCATTACGCCCGCAACGCCCACAAGCTTTGCGTATGGTAACTATTTGCTTGCACTTTTTGTGTCTCAAATGAATCTTGCCTTATGTTGAACCTCTGCTTTTATTGTTGAGGTAACTCTTAATTAGTACTTCTCAAAGCTTGCCGTTAGTTGCTGGTGTGAGAATCCCGATTTGTGGCCATTTCGTTTTTTTTTTTCTTTTTCGCTCGGTGCGTTCTCGTGAAAAGTTCTCCCCGCGTAATTCTCGCACCCCCAAACTTAGCTTCGCTTTTTCGGCAAAAAAAGTGCGAGGATTATGCGAGTGAATACGGTAGTACGTACTTGCCGGGGAATAACAACGCACTAACCGTAGTATACATTAACCAGCAAGTACATATTCACATCGTCTGACATGCGCCATCCCGCCAACAATGGAATAAGTACAGTGGCACAGCTAATGTTGCCAGCAGTTCCCACCACAAGTCTCTTTCTTTCTTTTTACTAAATTGCAGAAAAGATGCTCGCATGAAAGTCCGATAGCACGCGGTGACGATGCCAAGGAGCATTTAGAAACTACAGTCGATCTCAGATATATTGAACTCGAAGGGAATTGTGAAATAGTTCAAAATATTGACAATGCGAAAGGCAAAATCTGTATATTCATGAGTGTTGAAGATTGGGCGAGTTGGTTCGTCGTACTTGAACTGGTATAGCGCATCATGGGGAAGAAGAAACGGCCGAGCAGACCGACACAAGAGGACAGAGCTCTACTAGCGCTCTGTCCTCTTGTGTCGGTCTGCTCGGCCGTTTCTTCTTCTAGTGTCGGTCTGCTCGGCCGTTTCTTCTTCCCCATAATGCGCTATACCAGTTCAAGTACTGTATATTCATGGCCTTAGCTAAAGCTTCTAAGGCCTAGAAAATCGTTACTAGCGCTAATATAACGGTTCGCTCGCAGCATGTAAGACAAGGTGTGAACTGCAAGTTACTGCATTTTATTTTGCACGAAAGTAGCCCGTAAACATGTCTTGCGTCTTGCACGCTGTCAAGTTCTAGCCATCCAGAATATCATTTAAGCTTTTCAAATAAGCGAATTCAGATCCTTCGGCCACAGCAGTGTTGATTGACGCAGAATTTCGGTGCAAGCTTTGTAGCGAGGTGAAAAAATAGCGACGGCAGTGAAGGCGCTGGCATATTTATAACAGCACGGGTACACTTCAGTGGCACCGGCAACGACAGCCATGATCTCAACATCGATGTAGTCAGATACAGCTACAACGATGAAGTTTGTCAATGTCCGAGACGGTGCCCGGAAATACTGATAAGTAGGCTTGTGCAAATATTCGAATGCTTTGAATATTCTAACGAATAGTTGAGTATTGAAAGTCGCTTCGATTCAAATTCAAATTATCGAATATTTTTGAAGTATTAGCTATTAACGAATAAATGTATATTAATACCCATGCCACTGCTTGTAAAGGTGGTTTCACTGCAATGTAGGAATGTTAAGTCGTGAAAACACATAGTCAGAGGAAATTTACCTTGTCGCGAAGCCTCGCTTCAAACTTAAAGGGGCCCTCAACACTTACTGAACGTGGTCAGAAAACGCTGCCGATTGGTAGTCGAGGCTATCGTGAACATGCGAGGCAAATATTATAGCGCAGCACGCGGCCTGTAATTCACAATAAATTTTCAAAGCTAGAAGATGCTTTCTTCCCTCGGCAAACGACACTACAAGCTGGAAAATCACTTGTCACAGCCAGGAAGGAATATACGGCTCTGGTCACAGCCATTGGGGGGTTTGAGCATGGCACGCTCATCGTTACTGAGGCTGCCGCTTGTCCACGAGTTTGTGTGCGATTGCACTGAAAAGCCGCATATTCGAAGAAAAAAAAAAAGAGGTGCTCAAGGTCACGAGGTGCATGTGACGTATTTTATTTCGCCGTGCCATTTCTTTCTGCTTAACTTCCAGCCATTTTGTTGGGACGAGAAGAGAGAATGCAATTACAGCATGTGACAAATTTTTGGAACTCCGCTTGTACTGGACTGATTCTAGAAACATTGTGGTGGTAAATTTGTGAGACAACAAGCATGTTTACTGGCTCCATGGCTACTTAAAAAAGTGTTGCAGAGAGCCCCTTTAAGGGAACAAATTACGCTCAAATTAATTCTTCATTTTATCAAGCTTGTTATGATGACTTATATGCTACAAGTACAACAAATTTTAAAACTTTAGGTATCTTGCAGGTTATCACTCGCATCCTATTGAAACTACTACTCAAAATTGTTTCGACTTCCTTTGATCAAAAAAAAAGTTGCATTTGCATGGAGCCCCTATTTCAATTGAAAAAATATTGTGCAGGTTAGTTTCGTCATGATAAATATTCCTTTTTTAATATGTCATACATGCCATTTGAATTTGATTCAAAATTATTTGATCAAAATTACTATTCGCTTCGAATTCGCTTCGATCCTAAAATTCACTATTCGCACAAGCCTACTGATAAGTCACAGAATCCACTGAGGCATTGTATGATGTTGTCAGCGGTCATGACACACCCGAAATCGCCACCTGGCCCACAAGGTAAGTTTTCGGCGGTGCTTTACTTGACATCGATCCAAGCGCGAACCATAATTTTTATTGCTATGTGCGGGTCAAAGTTCTGTTCAACTCCCGAATGAAGATTTATCAAAACAAGGTGAAAAACACACAAGTCCACAAGATGCAAAAAACAATGCCGTGTACCCACCTTCAACATGTTGCCGATATCGATCTCACTTGTGGCTTTTCTAGCTGGCAGTCGCTTCTTTCGGCTGCTTAGATTCGAAAAGCTAGAAAAAGAGTACCCTCCGAGACATGCGTTTCAAAACCGAAAACACGAAATATATGTCGCGAAGTTGCACATCTCGAAGGCTCACATGCCAATGTGCGTCAACAAACAAGGAAGGGAATGTGAACATTGCCATGGGATGGCGGAGTCACTTTGCATTCTCATTTTGGTGTGCTCGGCAATCGGTCTTTATGAAAAACACTACCGGTGCACTCGTATACTGGTGCACTCGCAAGTGCGGTGCAATGAACCAGATCGATGCGATAGAATAACACTGCCTCTTTGTCACCTGCATGCGAAAAGGGATTGGAAGTTGCTAGAACGCGGCCGAAAATTGATCAATATTTGCTAGGCAAAATGCACGACATGCTCAACCTCCTCCTGGACCACAGCGCCGGCATCACGCTCACCACCAACAAAGGCTTCAACACCCTCCACCATGTGGCGCTGCAAGGCAACCCAAGGTTTGGGGGCTTTTGATCAATATTTGCTAGGCAAAATGCACTTTATGGGCTTTGGCCCAGCGCAGCGTTCTATATAGCGAATGTTCCTCTGTGCGAGAGTTAGGTATACGGGTGCACTGGTTCCATACTCATGCATGGGAAATTCAATGCGGTTTTTCAACTGTTCGATGCAGCCAATAATTCAATATATTTCAGTTTAATATATCGAGATCAACTGCATATTGGGGAACCTGAGATCCAGGATACGCAGTGAATGACACAGCAGCAGAATGGACATAATCGGCTGTCTGCGATACATGTGTACTGAGCGAAAATTTACACTTTTCTTTTTTTTATCACGGTATGGTTGCAGTCAGCTGATCGTCTACTGGCTAGTTGCGGACAGCGCTTTGCCTAATCGACACTCGCCAATACTGGTGAGCCGCTTGCTGTACAATAGGTTCACCTTCAGAATGCACATGTGCGACGAGTACAGAATGCACATATTGTTACGTTTGAGCCGGCAATTCGTCTGGGTTGACGCCATTGTGCGCAAGTCGGTCTACTAGGGAGGCTTTAAACCCCATCAGCGCACAGTCTGCAAGACGCTGCCTGGTAGGCGTTCCGGTAAGCAGTCGGGTTTCAACGAAAGCTTCGGGAGGCATGCCTTTTGTTGAACGGGCTCGATCAGCGAGGGAACGGCGCCACTGTGGCGGTCTCATTAAGACAACCTCGTGAATCGGCTTTTGTCATCTACGAGAAGCCATCTCAACGCACC